GACTCCGGCCACCCATATAAACCACATGTCTCCGATCCCGGAGTCCCCGGCAGGAAGTGGTTAATGCTGGTATAGACAAATTTGCATTTTCAATGTAAACTTTGCAGTATTTGGAAAGGCTTGCATGGTGACAGAGTTGTAGGATCCTTTTTTATAACCTTCCCCCACTGTGCTTGTGATGTCAACAGAAGTGTACTGGTGTGTCATACATAGGGTGGACCTCTGCACAAAAGAAGTCCACATAATGCAGGGTACGATGGCATTGTATGGACATGCACATGTCGGCACAAGGTTCCCCCTCTCTGGAAAAGGGGTTTAGAGATATTTTGGGGTAGGGGTCATCTGTGGTAAAAGGAAGAGGAATAGTCAAGGAAACCTTGTACAAAAACCAGCCAAAATCTTGTTCCTGGTTGAAGAAAAATGAGTATTTTCACTGCATTTTCTTAACTGCACAGAAACAAAGGAATGTCCACAGTAAATGTAAACATGGTTGTACTAAAAGAGTGAATTTAAACGTTGGTGGTGAGCCAAATTGAACATTTGATTCTCGTAGTCTTGTTCTCTCAGAACGAAGACAATCAATGTTACAATAATTCTTGTCTTTTTTTTCAGCTGAGAAGTGTGGTAATTCAGCCATTCAGCAGTGGGCGGGGCTTCAGGTGGTTGTCAGCTTAATGCATGAGGGCAGGCTACAAAGGGCTGATGCACTCACTAGGAAGGTTAGTCGATCCAAATGTGATTCACAGTAATGTTTACTACCATAGGGGTCACCATAGAGAAGTCATATTTGCAGTTCATAATAAAAAATAGTTACTTTTTTGCATAAGTTGTCAGCAGTTAGATACTCAACATTAATATTGGAATCATTCTCTGAGCAGTGAGTTTGTAGAGGACTTCAAAATACACATGCATGATGCTGTCCCATGTGCAAACAGTACAGAGTACTTGATTAAGTGCAGGATAATGTACTCAAGATACTGACTACGAAGAAATCAAGACAAATCTTACTGGCGTATTATATTGTGAAGGAATCCTATTCTACTGGCACATCAAGGGGCCAACAGATACAGGAATTCGTAAGACTTCCAAGACTAAACTGCCAATCGTCTGTTTTTTGTCCAAATTACCTTAGTCTCTTAAGTGTTCTGGTAACTTTACTTACAGGAGTGCTACATAACTACTGAAATCATGAAGAGGACTTAAAAGCTGCTAAGAAATAAATTTATATGTCACACTTTTTTGAAGAAATTAGTAATTATAGGAAGAAAATCTGAAGACATTTTTTAAGCGATTGCTTTACCAAATGTTAAAAACGTCTGCATGTGAATCTTGTTTCTTTAAGTCCATTTTGGTGAATTATTTCTGTCATAAGATTCAACTTGTTCCTTTTCTTTGATGACGTGAAATTTATGAAAGTTTGCCTAACAGCTTTCCCTCAAAATCATGAAGAGTTTTTGCTTACTGTTTGTGCACAGTTAGAGGTCATTTATCAGTCTCAACCAGACATCAAGTCAGCCTTACAGCTCCTCCAAGCCCAGGCTGTCTGCATGCAGCATGTCTCTAGTCAGAGCATTGAGTTACTCAGGACTGTCATCTCAAGAACAAGTTACCAATCATTAGCAGCTTGGCAGGTCTGTACAGAGGGGTCTAGGATGAAGGTTCCTCCCTCCCATTTCCCCACAAAATACCTTACCTATCCCCTCTTCATAAGAGTAGCACCATGTAGCAAATGCAGGAATATTCATCCTCAATATATCAAACCATTTTACTAGTGTTGCACTTGTGTAACAGTCATTAAATACCAAGTACGTACACCAACAAGAGATACTTGAATTCAGCAAGTACACTATTGAATTTACCTGTGGCTATGTTGTGCCTGGTTAGTGTTGCGTGAACAAATGAAAAACCAATTCCTTGACCTTCATTGAAATAGTAATGTATCATTGAATTTGGATGTTAGATTAATAGCACATGTTAGTTGTGAATCAAGACACCATGTTTAACTCTTGTACATGTATCATTCAGACCTTTTAATAAAATAAACTGATCGTGTATGAAACCCATTTGCCAATAACTTGTTCTCAGATCTTCAGGAGTCATTAGTGTCCGTATACAGGATTTTCCATAAACCAGACACTACAAGTTTCATTGTCTTTTTACTTGTTTATCAGAACACACTTTGGCTATATTTACCAATGCACTTTACATCATTTGTATCACTACAATCTTTGATTTCCAGTTGCTGGCCAAGCTGTATGAGCAGGAAGGTATGGTGGCGGCAGCAGAGTCTGCCTACAGACAGAGTCTAGTACACTCACATGGACAGCAGCTTGTACCGTTACTCAGACTCGCCCATCTGGCTCTCAGAGCAACTAAGGTTAGCGCATTAGTGACTCACTGTGAGTCATTCCAGAGTCCTGTACAGTCACAGGGACAACAGCTGGAACTGTTACTCAGACTCACCCTATAATTGTAAGGCGTTCAGAGCAACTAAGGTTAGGGTCTCAGTGACTCACTGTGAGTTAGTCCACAGTCTGGTACACTCACAGGGACAGCAGATGGTACCATTATTGACTCACCCATGTGGCTTTCAGAGCAGCTAAGATAAGGCCTCAGTGACTCGCTGTATTACAGTGAGTATTACAGTGACTGACTTAAAGTCAGTCTACAGAAATTGGTACACTTGTAGGGACAGCAGCTTCTATGTAAAACCCCAGTAAACACTCAAGATGAGCCCTAGCCTTGTTGAAGACAGCACCACCCCACCTGAGTGACAAACACATTATTTCTATCCCGGAATAAGTGTTTTAGTCTTGTTTTCTTTCAGGCAAGCAATGAGGAACACTGGGCCGCTCTGGTCCTTGAGGCCACTAATGAGGCATTGAAGTTACAACCAACATGTCCTATAGCATTATTACTACAAGGACTCCTACACCAGCATAAAGGCAATACAAGGTAAGACTACAGGCAATGTTGTATGATTATAGGGGGTAATGTTTGAGATCACCGGTGCATCCTAGACTGGGTGCATCTCAGATACAGACACCTTGGAGCAAGTTTGAATAAAAAGTGTGGTCAACCATAGGACAAGTTTGATCAAGAATCATTGTTAATCATAGTTAGCTAATTCTTATCCATGATTAGTCTAGTGCACTTGATTACTCAAGACCACTGTAACAAGGTTGATTGCATCTCCAGGAGTCGCATGCAATACTGTATACAAAGCAGGGAGCCATGACCTTGAACTCTTGCAGTGACATTTGATCATAATTTGACAGTACTTTGCACTTTTGATGCACAGGTGTAAGACAGGGCAAGAAAAGTCAATAGTTAAGCAGTGATCTTTGGCTGAATTTCATTGCAATGTACAGATTTGAGTGTGCATTGTACGTGTTCAGTTATCAATCTTTCCTTATCACTGTTCCCCCACAGTGAGGCCAGAGATGAACCCTTTGTTTACAAAATCACTTTGTGGTCGCTGCCATTTCACCTAATCAGTTCCCTCTGTACTTGCAATTACAAAACAAAGCTTTTGTAGTTGCATTTCACAGTCTGGTTCAAAGTAGTTGACTGGAGTAGTCGCATCATCCTACATTACAGTTAAAGTTTACATAGTTTGTTCCAACTTGCTCCTGGTCCAATGGTAGGGGTTGCTGTCATTCAAATAATGCTAATACCAATGGGCCATTTCCAATTGTTAGGCAAAGCAAGAAGTGTTTCCAGCAGGTGCTTGAGATGTCCAGAGGAGACCAGATGAACTTAGCAAGGTCTGTAGCTAGATATCACATGATGCAACACTATGCCAGCAAGAAAGATGCAAACACTGCCCAGGTGAGACTCCCTTCATGTATTCTGTGTTTCACCTTCCAAAATGGACATGGGTCCTGTTGCCCAGAGACCCTCAAAAATGGAGATTTGAAACGTTTGCTCTATATAGATCGAACCCACGACCTCCTGCTGGAGGAGGTTGTGGGTTCGAGTCCCACCCGAGTAAGCTTGTTACTTTTTTCGCAAGCTCTCTGTCAAGCACTGAGCATACAGTGTTTTATTAATATATACGTTGGCTAAGGGCAAACCCGTTATATAAATTAAAATCTCCCCAACGCAAAAATACATCTTGTAAAACGTTTGCATCGTAAAAATACTTGATATACAGTGGTGCACTGTTGATATGCACAATGCATGACTAAAGTATCACAAAAAGCCTCTATTAACCCAGCAGTATTCCCCCGATATAGATCTTGGTTGAAGAAGCCATTCAAGAGCAGGATCCCAACCTTCATCTTCTCCAGGAGCTTGTCCCATCAGCATGAAATCCTTGCTTGACATGATAACGGTGATTTGCTTGTAATAGGGTACTCTCTGGCATATGGATACCGGTACATTATTTGGAGAAATGGTTTTAGATGTGGGTGTATGTCAGAGAAGTGCATCGTGCAAACAGAGTCAGTTCTTGAAGTCAGTGAACAGCCATTCCTTTTTTTTTTTTTGCACCTGCCTGAGACAATTTTCACAGTAGTGCTGATTTACAGGAATAGCATTTGCATTCCTGTGTGACTCACAGTTGTGGATGAATTTCAAAAGGGGTACAAAGTCTAAGGGAATTTATCAAACCTTGGCTTCCTTAGCGTCGGCTTCAGTTGTATGAATTTAGTCCCTCATCCCTGCAGCTCGTTACATAGATGGTTTTAGCCACAGAAACCTCAAGCTTTTTTTCATTTTGAGTATTTTAGTTGTATGCAAAAGTAAATAGTTAATGTTTTTGCAGCTTCAAAGCTGAGAGGCCAGAGTGGAAAATGGCTCACAAGTTGGACAAATACTGTCACATAGACTGTCCTAATGCAGTGTTAGCTCAGTGCATGCTTTGATTTGATTGTAGTCTGGCCATACAGCCAATTTTTCTGAATTACGGGCCTGCTATTTGTACTACCTGTGAGTGAAGGCTGTCAGGTCACTTGGCTACGGGGGGGAAATTACGGACAAGTCTATGGCAGTGGCAGAGGCCAATTCCCATTAAGTCATGTGTAAATTCCGGCCGTAGCCAAGTGATTCAGACACAGCCATATGATAGACTTACTTGAAGACACCGGGATAATCTGTGCTTCATTGCATGCTCTAAAACACTGTAACAATCATATTAGAGAAAAAGCACCGACTCCAGAGAATTGATGCGTCTAATGCCCGAGCTACAGATGAGGGCACTATCAATGGTCCATTCTCCTGAGCCAGTTTGCAAAGCATGTATTTATTTCATTCAAAATACCTTTTGTTTTTAAAACACCTCTATAGCAATTTTATAGTATGTTCCTCTTGCAAGCAATGATAAAACAATCTTTGTCTAGATTAACCACTTGCTGCCAGTTGCCTTTGGAAATGCAGTTTTTAAAGCGGGCAATTTTTAATACATATCTTCGGTTTTCAAAAATCATCAAAAATTCATCTCTTTTTGTCCTGAATGCCCAAACCCCATCGAGTGACTGTCTGGTTATTCTAATCTGACAGACAACATCTATTGATGCCCAAGTATTTCAGCCAGACCTGCCACCTTGTTAAAAGAGCCCAGATTGTGTAGTGCTACATAAGTTTCTTTTGTTCTGAAACCGACACAGTGTGCTGCTGGCATCTTTTCAATATGGGCCAGATTAGCATGCAGCGGCATTGTGTCACTCATCACTGGGGTGCTGGAGCACTTTTGTCCCTGGTGTTAATCCACTCACACTCAATGTCACAAACAGTGCTATTGTTTTTCCAAACAACGACGGATTTCTTCCCCTATTGACAACTGACAAATATTGGCAATTCCTTGCAGCTCACTCTTTTGTTTCAAGGCCCGGCTCTTTTTGTCCGATTTTGAGCACCCTGGCTATGCGTGCAAACCCAAGGTACCAGAAACGGGGCTCTCCGGCAGCAAGTGGTTAAGACCAGCCATGTGACAGGCTCTCAACCAATAGGAATGGCTAAATTATCTTGGGTATTTGTGAAGTAAACCTAAAAGAGCGAGTAACTGTTGAAAAGCAAGGCCATGCCAAACACTAGTTTTGAAGTTGTATATAATGGCAACTTTTTCCATGCTTTCAGAGACAAACCACGAAGACAAAATCAGTGGTTCACCTCAGTTGATTTTCCCAAATATATTTCCCTTTTTATTCGACATTTGAATATCATTTACATGTTACAAATACTAACGTATTAAACTGTAGTAAGTCTAGTGACTTCACGCTGATAAAAACATGCAGATGATGATTTGCTCTTTAACGTTCATTTGATGTAATCCACCCTTAATATCAAGTTTTGAAAATAAAACAAAACCAAAAATTAAATTGTGTAGAAGTGAAACCATGCTAGGTTTACCTTCAGTATTGTGAACGTTATCCAAAACACACAAGTGGCAAAAATTCATTAGAGATGACTTTAACAAGGAGTTACCACAAGTCTTATGTTATTTACAGATCTGCAACTTTCACACTGGTTTTAAAATGTCAATTCTGTACAATGCTCAACTTTTTGTTAGGCTTTGTTTTAATTGCAGTACAGTATAAAGTACCTAACAAAACTGATCAAAGAAATCTACTTTATGGATTTCAATATTCTGTCTGTGGAGGGAGTATACTCCTGTGTGTTACTCTCAACACTGTACAAGAATCTAAGCACACAAGTGGTCAGTGGCCAAATTTGGTTTAGTTACCACACACTGATCCAACAATTAACAGGTGTCTCGTAAGCAAGTACTGAATACAGGTGATTTTTGTACAAAGAAATGTTAAGTCATAAGATGCTTGTTTTATGCTAAAACCTTCTTCATATAAAACTTTCCTAAAAGAGAAAAGTAGTCAAAATGTGTTAAATTTTATTGAATCGAATAACTCAAAATAAAAATCAGAGAAGGCAACAATATCAGTTTTATAAGGAAGAAGATTTGTAGGTGTATTTTGAGTAGCAGTTAATAAATCCTTTCTTCTTCTTGCAGTGAATGTCCCCATCTATCGAATCATGGAAAGGCTGCCATGCTTTTGTCGGCCATTAACTGGAAAAATGGCCTTTCCCTGGGAGCCTTTTGGTGGCGCACTGTATTGTCAATCACCCCTATAATGAGTGGAGACCAGTCAGGATCCAAGTTCATAGAGCTAGTATACAGGAAACTTGCCCAACTTGCCATACAGAAAAGTGTCAAACCAATCATCAGCAGTATATCTCTGGTGATGTTTTGACTGGTAGTCACGCATTTGCTGAATGAGTTTTGACATTCTTAGCGGCTACATGATATTGGATCCAGGCTGTGTAGATTAAAAAAGACATGAAACTACCAGAACTCTGTTGAATCCACTAAAAATCCAATTAGTCTTAACTCCTCAGTCAGTTGTTCATCAACTATCTGCAAACCTCCGCGTTACACACCCTCCAACTTCAATAATATGGTCTCCTTGGATTGTTCTGCAGAAAAAAAGACAATTCCCTCCTTATTGCAAAAGTGAGATGCTGCTTTATAGAACACAAATTAAACACTGAAAAAAGGCAGGGAGGAATTTTTCAGCAATGCATTAAAACCAAATGATGGAAACAAAGGATACAAAAGGAACTGCAGAATTCAATAGTGCCTTCACTTTTCCAATAGGTGGATCTGCAAATTTAAACGGCTCCATCTATAGTAATAAAAGGCTAATTCTTTTTTAATTTCCTTCTGTTGATACCTAATTCTCAGCACCCTCATAACTGTAATACTGCGCTGCACCTTCAATGGATGACCAGGGGCAAATTTCATAGCGCTGCTTTAACTGAAAAATTTGTTAAAGCGTGAAAAAACCTTGCTTGACAAATCAGGTTACGAGCCAAAACTTCTTGTGATGTATACTGTTTGGGAATGGTATTTACCTGTCTTTTGGTCAGCATGACAATCACACAGTTTGAACTGGTAACATTTGTTAATTAAACAAGGTTTTTTTCACACTTAAGCAAATTCTGTGCTTAAGCAGCTCTATGAAATTGGCCCCTGGATGTGAGACTGCAAATCAGAACCATTAAAGGGTAACAGAAATTGAAAACGTTTAGTTCACATGAGGTATTTAAAAATAATAATAAATACATAACCATTTCAAAAACATCGAAAATTTAATGTTTACCCCATTAATTGTGACCCCAAAATGAATAAAAAGATCCTGCATTTCCCCACCCACAAAAAAAATCCCCTTTTGACCGTTTGCACTCCCAGGCGGATTGGATGATGTCATCGCCAGAACACTGACATGTACATTGCGCACAATACATGCAGTATAGCATGCTTGCAATAGAACAAGTTGTGTTTGATGTAGCTTGGCCCACAAGCAAACACTGTCTCTGTTCAAGAAATACATGTACACAGTAGAGATGTGTCTTTTCATTTCTACCTTGAACTGAGACATTGGAATCTGGAAATTATATTACGAGACGTACCAGTACTAGTCCATGATAATTTTTTTAATACTAATATGAAATAATGCAAACTTTCCTAAAGGTATACCTTTTTAGGCTTATCAAACACATATCCAAGAGAAGTTACTCATAAACATTAGCACTTTAAGTGGACTGAAGACCTGCACTAGAAATCAGAGTTTTCCCACAGTGACTATTTCTGACCTACCAGGGGGTTTGGTCTGAATCTGTACGCCAGCATCATCCTCTTCCGATATGCTGAGTATTCATCCTCTGCATCCTCTTTGGTCAAGTTACTGGCCTTGTCAATGCCCAGGCCAGTGGTGGCTGCAGACGCACTGCCCCTGTGAAACCATCCAATGATCCCAGCAATAGATTAATCAAATCATACAGAGATTTCCTGACAACTAACCTGGCCTGTATGATTTCACATCCACCGCAGTTTGGAAAAAAAAGCCTTAGAATTTCTTAGATTGGAATTGGAGAATCACTAATGCAGCATTGTCTACAGACTTCCAATATGGATTCCACTTGTTTAAATTCCCACATTATGCAAGAGAGGCAGTCCCCATGCACACTTTATTTGAGGGTTCAGCCAACCAGACTAGGGAAGTGTAGAATTGCCAACCCACTTTGTAACCAATTTAAGGCACCATCCAAATTGCTTGGCTGCAGCTTGAAATTACACACAAGTTCATGACAGTGGCTGCAGCCATACCCTATGAAGGCTGGTGTAGTTTCAATCCACAGCCAAGTAATTCAGCTTAATTTCTGCCCATATTAACCACTACCAGCCGGGGACTCCGAAATCGGAGCCGTATGGTTTACATGCGTGGCCGGGGTCTCCAAACTCGGACAAAGGAAACAGGGCCCTGTAACAAAAGACCATACTCTGAACAAAAGACCAGGCTGCTGGGCATGACCGGCATTTTTCACTCTCAAAAGTGGTGATAATCCAGCCTTACTTTGAAACCGTATACCAGGGTTTGGGGCATTGAGAGCAAGCGGATTACCACCAGGGACAAAAATGCTCCACCGCCACAGCGATGAGCCACACAGCACCGCTGCACGCTAATCTGGCCCCTATTGAAAAGAGGTCAGCAGTGCACTAAGCCAGGTTCGTGAACAAAAGACAGTTATATAACACCGTACAATCTGGGCTCTGTTTACAAGGCTGCAGGCCTGGCTGAAATACTCGGGCGTCAATGAAGGTCACCTGTCAACTTAGAGTAGTGCCTGAAGATTACTTGGTGCGGCTATAAACGACTCTTAAATGGAATGATGAATTTTTAAAGGATTTTAAAAACGGAAAAAATGATAGTCATGCCGGCCAAGCATCATCAACGTTTAAAAATACCCCGGCACGAAGTGGTTAAGATGGGTGATAACAGTTCAGGCGTCAAAGCTAGTAATGTCCTTCAACAGACACCTGAAGTCTCTTGGATGTCTGTCTGTTGGTCATCTCTGACTTACTTGTTGACTGGTGCAGTGATGCCCTGCCCCGTCGAGCCAAGACCTTTGCCTTCCTCCCAGCCAAGCTTCTTCAACATCTGGTAACCTGTCACAATTTGACCCAAAACAACACAATGTCAGTGCATATTTAACAACTTGTGATTGCTATATGATGCGGGACATGGATTTTTAAAAAATCGAATGATGCAATGCAGCCTGCATTCTCAAGAGAATTTTGAAAAGTTCTGACATCAAAGCATAACAATATGGGCAATTCACAATAGCGCGCCTCCAAGAGTTTGCAATGCGTTGACCAATCACAAGGCGCAAAATCTGTCAACACAATGTACATTTGGAAAGAGTCGACGGATTTCACTCACTGTGATTGGTCAACATGTTGCAAACTCTTGGAGGCGCACTGTTGTAAAATGCCCATATTAGTCTGTTGTATTGCATCAAAGAAGATTCCTTGAACCATACATGATAGGCTGTCACACAATTTACTTGCAAGGTGGAAGGTAGACCACTTAAGATAAATGAGGTATAGAATCTAATACACGATAAAACAAAGTTACCAGATAACCATATACATATATAACCAAAATGAAAGGTTTACTCTAGTTGATTAAAAGAGATAAAAATTTGTAGACTCCACAATCACTACCAGGCCTTGCATTGCTCTCATGTCTTGACTACTATTCAGAATGGATATGAAACTTGGGAGCTATTTTACCAATGTTGTCAGCTTGAATCTTGAACTTCTGGTAGTCAGAGAAGTCTGGTGTCCTGCCTTCTTTCAAAGCTTGCAATGTCTCCAGGAATTTCTCCAGCTCATCAGGGGGCAGGAAGTCACCCAGATGGTGCTTACCCTTGCCCATCCGAGTCAGAATCTCAGCTCTCTCTAAAGACAAGAAAATACAGGAGATGCTTGGAGAAATGATTGGATGCCAATGGCATCCTGTAAAACAGGCAGGCATCACAGAGACATATTTTTAAAATCTTGATAGAACACTTTAAACTGTGTATTAAGAGGACATGCCACGGCTTGCCTACCAACGTGAGGTGTAACAAAGGTGAAAAGCACTTGCAAGACATTTGGAGGCAAGTTCAAGAAACAGCTAAAGAAATGCCACGTTGTCAATGCAGTTAGGAAATAAAGCAATGCTCCCACACAACCCATCCTCACCTCTAGTCTCCTCCATCTCTAGCATACGCTGCTTATGCTCCCAGGTACCACCGTGTGTATCTTCATCACTGTCATATTCGTACTTGTTCTTCTTTCTGGGGCCAGACTCCTGGTTCGCTGCACTGCGGCCCGCCGCTGCTATCTTGTTATGGTATTTCACCATGGAGTCCACCATACGTTGCATCTACATGTATGACCCGTTGGATAACCATCAATAATGAGACTTTCTCAAGGTTGTGTGAATAGGAAACTGGAGAAGTCAGCTTTCTCCTCCCTTGAATTAATAAAATAATTGGAATTTTGTTTCCGATGGTGAAAGACTTAATACTGATTCGCACATAGCACAAAAGTGCACAAAGCAATCACATAAGTGGAGCACATTTCAACTCCTACAAATTTGACCATAATTTATAATGACCAGCTTTACCAACGAAACAACTCCATTCCCAGACTCTTCCCTGAGAAATGAAGACAACTGTATACTGCAGTGCACGCCAGGTCAAATATGTTTTCAGAATCATACAAGATATAAAACCTCTTGCTTGTTGAAGTTTATGGTACCAAACTGCTTTAAGGTAACACAATAATGCCCTGTCATTCAAATCTTCTATACTGAATCTTCCAGTGTTGGGAGCAAGCCCACGCCAGTCTGTTAGAAAAGAGGAACGCACTATACAGAACACCGCTATACTGAACATTCAGCCGTACCGAACATCGTCCTTGGCTCCCAATATTTTGTGCATACAACCTACCAAACACTATGCAGCTGCCATTTGTCATTCCCGAACGTCAACTTGATAAAACAGTCAGGTTTTTTATGTGGGAGAGTGACAAGTGGCCGTTATTTCCTCAGAAATAGGGAAAGCCGCTAGTTGTTGAAGAGTTAATTGTAATTAACTGGCTGAGAAACTGGGTACATTGGTCCACACTTGTTCAAAGTGGTCTTCTAGTGACGGCCAGGGCATCTGCTCACGGTATTGAATGGACACTGGTTTTGCGACTCCGTGTGATCGATTGGGTGCAGAAGAAAATCACACGCACACCGCCGTGGCATTGCACTAACATAAGTCTTAAGAAGGTGCCGCTGATACACAAGCCACCAAGATTTGCCCAAGCATGCATCAGAGATCGATCCTGAGTGGTAACTTCATGACTTTTAGGATAAACCTGAAATCAATTTTGTAACTTAAGATTTAATAAAAACCAAAAATAATTAACAAATACATTTTTAGAAACCTAAAATGTGAACGCAACGGCAAGACATCACGAAAACAGTGAACTATGGTATCACAAGAGGGTGCACTTCAATTAGACAAGAGAGGGTGCTATTCAACATGGCAAGGAAACATTCGGCAGTAAATTTCGCTATACCGAACGACCGCTGTACCGAACATTCAGCGTTGACCCCGGCATGTTCGTTATAGCGGCGTTCCACTTTAGTCACATGCTAAGCCAATGAACTGTGATGCATGCATTCTTTTGTCATCTCTGACCAGACATGATGTAACTTATGATATGGCTAGTGATGGAGATGCAATAGACTAGTCAGTGACTTGGCTTCAGCGATCCTCCTTGATGGAGATGCAATAGACTAGTCAGTGACTTGGCTTCAGCGATCCTCCTTGATGGAGATGCAATAGACTAGTCAGTGACTTGGCTTCAGCGATCCTCCTTACCTCCTGCTGTTCTTTCAGCTGCTTCAACTGTGCTGGGCTCAGTTCTGTTGTCCCAATCATCCCGACACGATTCACATCGTTCCCCAGACTGGACGTCGACACACCTCCCCCTGACCCAAATCCCCAATCATTCTCCTCCACCTCCCCCAGCCCCATCCCGGTGCCTCCCACCCCACCCACTCCTGGCTTGGCACTGGCCCCGCCCACTGAGCCCGGGGGGATGATGGTGATCTTGGGGGGTGGTACGGCTCCGCTATCGCCTGGACCACCTTCCATCCAGCGGCTTTTGCGTTTGCGACTTCCCTCGCTTGAATTTCCCGCTATGGACACAATGATGAGAAAAAGTCAAGATTGCCTTATCATTTCAAGTGCCAAACTGATGTTATTATGAAGCAAATTTTCCAAACAACATTTTGGCCTTCAACAGTGTGGTGAATGGTGAAGACAGCTTCTGTTATCACAGAGACTACAGAAACAAACTTGACAAGTTTGCTTGGGTTGGAGGTGAACCAGTCACATTCTGCTCACTTGTGAAGATGTCTGAACCATTCAACCACCTAGCTTACCATTATCCACTTGCCGCTGGGGATTCCGGATTCGGACACGTACTCTACCAGTATATACACGTGGCCGGGGTCTCCGAAATCAGACAAAGGGAACTGGGCCTTGTAACAAAAGACCGTACTTGTAACAAAAGCCCAGGCTGCTGGGAATTACCAACACATTTTCACTCTCAATAGTGGAGATAATCCAGCCTTGTTTTGAAACAGTACACCAAGGTTTGGGGCATTCAGTGCGAGCAGATTACAACCAGGGGCTAAAGCACTACACCACTCCAGCAATGAGCCATACAGTACCGCTGCACGCTAATCTGGCCCCTATTGAAAAGAGGTCAGCAGCGCACTGTGTCAGTTTTGTGAACAAAAGAAAATTACGTAACACCGCAAAAACTGGGCTCTTTTTACAAGGCAGCAGGCCTGGCTGAAATACTCCAGCGTCAATACATGTTGTCTGTCAGATTAGAGTAGAAACCAGGCAGTCCTTCATGTGGGTGCAAGCGTCCAGTAAATGAAGACAGGAATTTTTAAAGATTTTTGAAAAACAGAAAAAAATAATTATCCCGCCCCGGCATCATCAACATTGATAACTGCCACTAGCGCGAAGTGGTTATTATCTAGCTCACTTGACTTTGATGTGAATCTAGTGGATACAATGCATGACAATGTATGGTTGACTCATCCACATTCAGCAACTAGATCTGAATAAGCACATCCAACACCCAAACATGAAGAAAATGTTAGAAATCAAACTTAAGAAAACCTCAATAATGTGACCTTGTGTTCTTGGCCCTGTAAGGGACGGCGACCATTTAGACAGAGTTTGAAAAGGGTCCCCCCCGGTAGCCCACCCGGTATAATGCCTGCCCGGTATTCAGCCTACTCCAGG